GCTTTGTCTCCACCTATGATGATTGGTACTGCCTTGACAATGTGAATGTGCGGGAAGTTAAGGTTTTGCTCCCTCGATTTTTCATGGGAGCTTTCCTTGGACGGCTGCCTAGGTTAGGGAGGACAAACTCTTTTAACTTTCATGCTTTTATAAATTCTTCCTCCAATCCATAGTGGTGTATGCATTCCTCGGCTCGAGCTGGTGATCACTATGGAAAGCATAGTACTTGAAGGTATCTCTAGTGTCGGCGCTCACCTTCATGGGCGTCGGGCACTTGAGTTACTCCTTATTTTGAATGGAGTCAATGAGTTTGGCCTTTGATATAAACAAAAGAGTTATAGCAAAGTATTGGTGAGTATAGGTCATACCTTCTTCATGGTGGTTTGAGTGAGCCGCAGTGCTTCCTCTATTTGCAGTGGGGGTGGCTCTGCAATCCTGAGCGGCCTAACCTGTAGGGGCATTTTTGACTGCCTGTGATGGCATTGAATTTGCAGTAAGTGCAGTCTCCTGTCGGCTATGTGGCTTCTTAACATTGTTGTCGTGTTGGCCACCTTGATGTAGATGAACTAATTTATAACAATGCTAGATATTTATATCCTTCTAAACAATATATTTTTGTTATGAGATTGTTCATAATTGTCATCATGGACAAAACAAACTGAATGTTTTAACTTCCTAAGGATGAGCATATTCCTTGACAATTAATTAGAAACACATGTTAGCGATCTTATCATATATAAACCCCGAGTAATACACATCTTTATAATAAATGCTTAAAAATGATATGATTAATTAAATATCATGATACTAATTCAATTTTTTGTTAGATTTAAATGAGAATTTGACTCCAAATAAGAAACAATGGAGAAAAATGATTCATGTAGTTGATTCCATGTAGTGAGATAAATGATTGATGTTTTTGTGGTTGTTGAATCTCATTCCTCCATGCATATGACCATTAAGTCCTCCAAAAAATCCTCAAGACATTTAAAAGCTCCATTATATTAAAATTGTATGTTATACTTTATAAATCTCCAATTACATGAATGCTCAATTTTAAATCCTCTAAAAATTATAATATATATAAATTGTATCAATATGAACATCTTCAATGCGTGATCAATTAATCAAATACAACATAAAATCAAACCAAATATTCATCAATTCAACGCCAAAAGTATACATATATAGAAATATCCAATTTCTCATCTATTGATTTATTTAATTCAGTAATAAAACTACCATTGCTAAGAAGTTAAACTCCTACTCACAAAAGATCCCTATCGAGACCAGGCCTAGAAAATTAAAACCTATGCTGACACCTCGTTATCAAACACCACCCATTAGACCTCAAAGAAGATCACAAAATTCTGACAAGTGGGGGTGAGCTAAAAATTAAGAGTTTATTTCAATGAAGTATGCGCATGGTTTTAAAAATTGTTTTCTACCGATAAGACATTTGAGGATCCAAATCCAATACACCTAATTAATTCACCAATGCATAAATAAAATTCAATTACTATAATATCTCATTCCTGAATTACATTATTATTGAATAAGTTATCTTCTAATGATGTACCTGAAACATAATCCTAGAAATTCTCCTCAAGATAATATACAACTTATAACCTGAAAATCATAGGATATGTGTGAGTTCGCAAGAAATAAATTTAGTAGATGAAATCTACTGATTAAAATAAAAATGACAAAGCATGCAGCTATAATATAATCAGTTAGAGAGGTATGGTATATAATATAATAGATGTGTAATATGTCATCAAGTTATGAGGTTAGCATAAGATTGCATAACTGAATAAATATCACATTTTTTAAGATAATATATGTGTGTGATGTTCATGCTCATTTATATGAAAATAGTAATCTATACATTCTATGTAGACATCTTCACATGCACTGCATGAGGTATAATCACACATATCCATATCTCACTCATTACTCATTTATCATTTTCTATTTCTATTTATATTTATCTATAGTTGATTTCATTATGTTACCTTGAAATTGGGAGGTAAGCACCAACCCACAGAAATAGAACCATTTCCAAAGTTTGTTCTCTGTGGGCATGTTGACTCGACTAGTCAAATTCAAAAGAGTTTTACTGTAAAGCATGCATTTATGTATGCAAGCATATATATATATATATATATATATAGTTTTGGGATGAGGGCTTATCTAGAAAGTATATTAAGATAGGGACAGTGATAATATGAAAAGCACTAGAAGAAGAAGAAATTAGTGAATCTTTGTTCCTTGTTTCTTGGCATCATCTCATATGACCTTATCGAAGCCACTAAATTCACCAAGGCTATTGAATACATGACTGAAAGTCCTCCCTCGCTCTTGGTCTCTTGTGGCGTGCCTGATGAGTCGACAATGAACAACGCCTTTGTTTTGGCTTGATCACCTCCTATGCAATCTGCTTTGAGCATCTCAAATTGCTTGGTACTTGTCATAGTTCTCAACGGAAGTGTTACTGACTGCTCTTTATTTTTGCAAACTATATCTATTATTTTTTTATATTAATTTTAAATTTATTAAAAGCATAAGTCTAATGTTTATAAAATAGAAGATTATGATTGTGAGGGTTGAGCTATGAAGTCTGTTTTTTAGGAGAAGGATATGTGGTTGTTGTGTTAGTGTAATTTGGCTTATATAAGGATTGAAAGGTAGATATAGGTTTCATACTTTCATGACAAACTTTAGTAGAAACACTAAGGAGAATTGATGTAGGATTAGCATGTGAGTTTGCATTATGAAATAAAACACAAGTTGAATTTAAAATTAATCATGGGGATGCGTATAGCAAGCTTCAAAACAAGTAAGAAAGGCAATCCACAAATAGCAATTAATCATAACCAAAGTTCTAGAATTCAAGAAGGTTAAATCAAATCAATAACATAGATTAGTTAGTACAAGAACCATGCACTCCATGATTTATTAAGCAAGTAGATTTAAATTAACATGAAAATAGGGATGCAACAGAGAATTGGACTTCAAAGATATTTACTTAAGTGAATGAAGTAAGAGTAGAAATATTTAGCTATTTGCGTCGCAGAGAAGCTTCCTTCAGACGTGGAGTGGTCTCGGCCGGTTGATCTTCAAAGGGTTGCTCCGTAGTGCCTTCTTGGTGTCTTGCTTTAAAGTAGAGAAGAATAGATGCTTGCCGAAATCTAGAAGAAGTAGGGAGGCCATGGTTTTTTTGCTATTTGGGGAAGATTAGGAATGGTGTGAGGTTAATTAGAGTGGTGGGACTTAGGGGAATGGGAGAGAGTGGGATTGGAAAATAGAAAAGTAGTTTTGGAAAAGAGAAAAGTTAAAGTAAACTTTGCAATTAATAGGTCAACTTCCCATTATTTAACATGAAGAGTTCCAAGAGTGGGCCAACCCTAGGGAAAGGGAAGGGGTTGTGGCTTTTCCAATTCCCAACTAATTTTGAAAATGAAAAGAAGGAGAGGAGTAACTTCTGAATTCAGAATTCTAAAAGAGACAAGTGGGGTCCAATTGGAATCCAAAAGGCCAAAATTTAAGATTTGGAAATTTTGGATTGTGGACTTGATGAGGAGGTGGTGGTGGTGGGCTTGCTGTGGGCGGTGGAAGGGGAAGGGGTGGTTGGCCGAGAGAGGGAAGGGGAGAGGGGCTGATCGGTGATTAGGGAGGAAGAAGAAGGGGGGGGGGTAGGGAAAGAAATACAAAGGGAAAACCAAGAGCTCACCTTAATGGGCTGTTCGGTACTTCTTTTGCCTTCTTGTAAGGCTTAACTACTCCACAATTACTCTCACACATGTGAAGATGGCTGAAATCAAAATTCATTCAAAAATAATCATCATTACCTTACAAGAGGGAAAGAGAGCCATATATATAGGCTCCACCACATGACAAGACAAAAAGACACAAATGCCCTTGGGCTTACAACATAACATTAAGGACAAGTTCACAAACTAAATTAAATCACATACAACACTAATATAACGTCTCAGTCATGGCCATCGATCTATGGCCCCTTCTATGATAAACCTTCAATGCATTGATTTTCCCATCAAGAATCTTGTGAAGGGATAATGAAAATTGTAGGTTAGAGTCAGGGAAGAAAAGTTTTTGAAATAGTAGAAAATGAATAAAGTGTGACTTCTTTGTTTATAAGGATTTACAAAAGATTTGTAGGAATTTTGGTGCAACCGCTAAAATCATCATCATCGTGATAAGCGTTATATCAACTATTTATTGTTGGTTTTATGAATACTTTTCATTCATTTTTATTGAATGCTGTAAAAGGAGATGAATTCTATTATGCACCATTTCGAGCCAAATTATTTTTGCTCTACCTGTTTTCCACTACCAATCATAGTTGGGGCTGCCCATGCTTAATTCCTTAAAAATAGTGGCATCATCTTCTAAACGACATTAGTCCATTCATGCAGAGTTTCTTTGGAATTTCACAGCACAGAAAAAAATATTATGAGATGGAACAAAAGCAAATGGGAATGAGAAGTACGTCTTGCAGTTTGATTTGATAAGATAAAATCATTATTACTCTTTTCTGTTGCCAGAGTTACTTTGCTCACAAAGAACGCATGATTTGCAATAACACTTCTCAAGCCCTCTCTTTGGTCAGTGCCAACCAAGAAAAGGAGAAGGCAAAATAAAGCAATAGTTGAGTAGTTTCTTGTGCAAGCTTGGAAGATAATTATTGAACCAAATTCTATCTTTTGTTTTATTCTTTGAGCACATTTGTAGACTGACCTGCCTGAGCTTTATCTTAAGTGGTATGGGGGAACTACGGAACAAGCTTTCTTAGCAGTTGCTAAGTTTTAAATCAATTGAGGCTACAAATCTACTTGTTTTGTAATTTCTCAAAGTACTTGTTAGGATGCAGTGGCTTTGTGTGTAGTGCCAAATATTGTTTGCTAGACATAATTATGATTCTATAGGTCTATTTCTAATAATTAATGGTTGTGATCTCCTTAATATGGTGAATGCAGGTGGGACTTTGATGGGCCATTCAAACCATTACACTTGATGAATCCTACTCGAGTGTCTTTTATTCGGTCTGCTCTCTGTCGACATTTCAGGTCTGCTAAAATTACAAATTTCTTATGAGGATTGTGATAGATGTTCCGAATGAAGCAACTATGCTGGATCATTTCGTTGTGTTATTGAGAGAACTTGTATTTTGCTATCATTCTAAGTGAATTGCTAAACGCCTCTGTCCCTCTATTCTTTGTTCTTTCTTTCAGTGAGTATATAACATACCAAACTATGGTTCCTTAAAATTTGGCACCACATTTATAAATTGCCTAGCTTTATCATGCTTCTTGTTTGCTATGCTGCAAATGTTATGTATTATGTTTTACTTGTTATCTAATAGATTTTTTTTGCTTTTATCGACGTTTTAATAAAACTGAAGTTAGAGAGGCTTAAAAAAAATGAAGTGTGAAAAAGTTGTTGGGCCTGATGCTATTCCAATTGAGGTGTTGAAATGTTTAGGAGATAAAGGAATTTCTTTGCTTATGAAACTTTTTAATATTATTTTTAAGACAAAAGATGCCAGATGAGAGGAGGAGTGTGTTGGTTCATATTTTTAAGAATAAAGGTGATGCATAAGAGAGTGAATTATAAATGAATTAAGTTAATGTGTCATGCATTAAAACTATGAGAGAGAGTTATTGAGCATAGGTTATGGCGTGATACTAATGTTTCTCAAATTCATTTTGGATTCATGCCGAGGTCTACAATGAAAGCTATTCATTTATTGAGAAGCTTGATGGAGATGTATAGAGTAAATGAGGAGGATTTTCATATGATACTTATTAATTTAGATAAAACATATGATAAAGTTTCAAGAGAAATGCTCTAGAAAGTTTTAGAAAAGAAATGAGTTAATAATGTTTATATTCAAGTCATTAAGAATATGTATGCAGTTGATATTTGATCAAGTATTTTACTATTTAAGTTGGATTACATCAAGGACCAGCTTTAAGTTCATATCTTTTCTGCTTTAGTCATGGATGTTCTTACTAGACATTTGCAAGAGAATGTACCATAGTGTATGCTTTTTCCTAATGATATTCTTCTTGTTTATAAGACTAGAGAGGGAGTGAAGGAAAACTTGAATTATGGAGGTCAACCTTAGAGTTAAAGTTTTTGTTTGAGTGGATCTAAAACAGAAACTTGAATTATGGAGGTCAACCTTGGAGTTAAAGTTTTTGTTTGAGTGGATCTAAAACTGAATACATAGAGTATAATTTTAGTAGTAATAGATATAGTTGGGGATTGTGACTTTGAGCGATCAAGTCATTAAAAAGAATACATGTTTTAGATTTCTCGGGTCTATTGCTTAAAGTGATAATGAAATAGATGGGGATGTTATTAGTAGAATTCAAGTTGGATAGTTGAAGTGGAGGAATGCATTGGGCCTATTGCGTGATAGAAAAGTACCCCTCAAACTTAATGGAAAATTCTATAACATGGTGGTGAGACCTGCAATGCTTTATGGGTTTAAAAAAAAAAGTAAAATTAAGCGAAGTTTTGTAGAGATGGTGATGCTCAAGTGGATGAATAGCTTTACTTTTAGAGACTATGCGAAACGAGTATATACGTGAAAAGGTTGGAGTAGTTTCCTTTGTAGTTAAGATTAGAGAGAGTCGCCTTATATGGTTTGGTCACATAAAACGTCAGTCTTCTGATGACTTGGTTAGGAGAGTAGATAAGATTTAACCTATTTTATGATAGGTAGAGGTAGACCTAAAAAGACTTGGTTAGAAAGTATTAGAAATTACATTTTTATTAGATTTAATTGAGAATTTGACTCCTAACAATACACAATGGAGGATAATGATTAATGTTGCCGACCCCATGTAGTTGGATAAATGCCTTATGTTGTTGTTTTATATAATCTAGTCTAACTCTACAACTCTCTAGAACTCTGACATACTTATGATCCATTCACATTGTTTTCACTTGACTCATTGTATTTGTTCGAAACTGCTTAATCTATTTTCACCTTTTGCTCGATGATTTTGACACTTTAGCTTCTCTAGATTTTCATTCTCACTCCTTTTTTCTAATTGTAACCATTGTTCACTTTAGTGTAGCTTTTGGAAAATTTTGATAGTCCTTAGTTGCTCAAAACTGAGGTCCATAACATGCATGCTATAAACAAAGTTTTTCCTTAGTCTGTTGTCCCGTGTTTTTACTTAAAAGAACCATAGACCACTCCTTGTTGGTGTGAATTTTATGTATTGGAAAAGTTGTATAATCACAACAGAACTTCAATCTTTTAAAGTTCTAGACATTGTCATATGATAGCTTTACAGCCATACTATGCAAGAACAAACTTTTTTTTAGCATCTTTCATGATTACACTTCCCATTATTAAACGAATCTGCTTCACTCTTCGCTAATTTTCAAAATGATTCATTCATGAGCTGTCCGGGAAAATCTCTCTCATTCTTTTCCTTAAATGATTATTTGTATGCATCATGATTATAAGCATAACATTTATATATAATTTTAATTCAAGAGCACAGTTTTAATTTTTGAGATAACTTTTCCTAGACTTTGTGCTGCTTGTACTTTTAAGTGCTTCTTTATGCTTAACTTTGAAACTAGCATGTCTCTAAATATGAATGCTTTTATCAATTTCACCATTTCTCACTAACATTTCTGGAATTTCTTCTCAGAAAAGATCCATTTAGTATTAGGCCTTTTGAAGGATTAAAAATAATAGATGTTGGATGTGGAGGCGGCATTCTATCTGAGGTATGCTTCTGTACAAATAATTTATAATCATGAAGCATTTTTGAATTATATTATTTTAGATGAAAATTCTTGCTCCCTTTTATTTGAGTTGCTACTTGAAACCTTTTAAATCTTTTCCAAGCTATTTGTGGTGGATGTTGGCATCTATGCTAATGAAAATAAATTAATTTTGTCCTTTTTATGCTTCAGCGGACAGAGAGGCCTTTCCCTGTACTATTTTAGTGATCCCTGTACTATTTTAGTGATCCCTGGCTAATACGTTTGTGATAGTCTTATTTTTCTCTAAATAGAAATCCTACCAAATGTCGTTAGACTTATCCAAAACAGTTGAGTTTGCTTGGGGCACAATACACAAAAGCAGTTACGTACTAAGAATACTGTTGTGTGGGACTCAAATCATCATCTTTTGTATGCTTTGTTCTGAGTGATTTCGACCGCTGTCATATTCCCATGATGCAAAGGCTTAAAATATGCACACCTCAGCATTTATTAAAGACTATGTCAAGATGAATTTTGAGGGACGATTTGTTGTGAAGCGTACAACAAAAGGTCTTCCTTTGATCTTCATCTAACATTGCTAAAATGTTTTTACAATTTAATCATTAACTACTTGATGCATAATGAAATTTCAGCATCTGTTTTTTTTTTATCAGATATTATGGAGATTTCATCATTTAGGGCTGTGCTTGTTGTTAAACGATTGATGTAAATTTGTAGGTTTCCTCTTAACCCTTTCCATTTGCATCCATGAAAAATTTCTCCTTTTTCTCATATTAAAAATTCCTCATATTCTAGACATTTTGAGTTTAAGCCCATGTGTAATTTGTTAAGCCTTCTTGTACATCTTAGTATGGAAGTTGTACAAGGATGTACACAAGTGCATTTGCAATTAAAAGTGGTAAAAAATAGTTGCATTTTACTTATTTATCTGAGGTGTCTTTTGGCAACTGAAAAATTTTATTTCCTCTGTATTTTGTTTTTGCTAAGATTCATAGTCTCCGCTAAGGAACTGAATCTTTTCTTTTGCTTTCATATATTAATTCAAAGTGAGTTCATAAGTTGTTTGATCATTTTAAAGTGCAGCCATGTAGTCATATATATATTTGTGTTTTGCACGTATTGATATTGAACTTTTCATTGATTTATATATATATATATATATATATATCATTTTACAGTCCCTTGCTAGGATGGGTGCTTGTGTAACCGGCATAGATGTTGTGGACAAAAATATCAATATCGCTCAAATCCATGCGGTATGACTATTTCTAGATGAAATTTTTTGAGTCATTGTATGGTTATGTCATTTCACGCATGCTCTCTTAAGCACATTTTTGTGGTCAAAATTAACTGATTGTTGTTTCGGATGTTAGATGAAAATAAATATTTCATAGTCATACTGGTTATATATTTGGATACTTTTATTTTATTTATGCTTTATTAGCCTTTTTATTGGCTAAATTTGGGTATTATGAACTTATGTTAAATTTTTCAATGGCAACAATGTTTACAAATGTTATGTTATTTTTATTTTTATATCCTTGTCTTTTTTTATTTGTTTCTCTCAAAGTTGTGATTTGTTACTTTGATCGTTGGGTTATGTTTGCTGGGTTGGTGTTGAGATTCCCCTATAATATTCACATGTCGTTAAGGTGAACTGATAATTGTCACGAAGTTATACCCACTACTGTTGTGGGTGCTATACTTTTCATTCATTTCAGTGATTCTTGCTATATTTATGTAACGAAAGTTGAATGAATGACATGAAATAAATAATCTTGGGATTGACCGACCTTTAAATTCCTTTTAAGGAACTTTTTTGGGTGAATTATATGCAAATCCTTGTGCTTTATTGCACATTGAGGTGCTTTTCGACCGTGAGATTAGGCACAAGCTTCAAGGTGTTTTGAGAGATAAGCCTCGTAATCAAAATAGTTTGTAGGTGATGGTTGTAGGGGCAGTGGATAAATAAGTAATTAAGGCTTAAAAAAAACCTAATTATGTTATTTTTATTAGTGAATATCTAAATAATTTAGGAAACTCACCTAAGACATGTATTCATATTATTGCATTTCACCATGTTAACACTCCCCAATAAATTTGATCATATATGTTAGTTAGCTTTTGGTATTTAATCTCGATAAGATAGAGAAATCTAAATTTTTGTTAAAATATCAACCACTTATTTTTGAATTATAGGCATGAGGAGTGACAATCTTCTTAAAGGGCATGACACACAAATGAAATGACAATCCACCTCAATATATTTGGTTCTTTTGTGGAACATATAATTATTCTAATTTAAATGTGATTAGCATAATATAGAACCCTAGGTGATTACACGGCATTTAACAAGCAGCATGAACAAAAGCTCTATATTCAACATCAAACCTAGATTAGGCCATAGTAGTTCATTTCATACTTTTTCAGGTGATCGATTTCCTTCCAATAAAAATGCAAAATCTTAATGTTGACTTCATGTCTTCAACTAAGCCAGCATAATAGACATGAATGCTTCCACATTTATGTGCACAATCTTCAACTTTAACAATTGCTTGACATAAGTCATATCCAAGCTATACAGCCTGCTTCACACACTTTAGATGGTTTGTTAGGACAATCAACTCTAATTTTAGGCTAGGCCAATGTTTTACTTTTCTACTACTTGTGTGCCGGGTTTTTGGTAGTTTTCACTGCTTGCTGGTTGCAATTGTTTGATTAATGTGATGTGCTAATTTTATTATGCATATGTGAATTGATGTGATGGACGGTAGATTACTCTTAGGTTAGAAACAATATGGATGCTCATAAAATTTTTTGTATGTGGCCATGCTCATGTATGTCTAAAATCAAGGGGGTTAAATTAAATTTAAGTCGACAAATTTTTTGTAGAAGCTAAATATGCTAAGTTCCTCTTGAAATTAAAAGAGCATGGCCAAGCGCGACTGTAATTTCAAATTTGAGCATATATATAACAACTTCACATTGTTAATGATTTTAATTACAATTGCCTTGGATAACCGTGCAGGTTGTTTTAAGTCAACTCTTTTAAATTTTCTATATGTATTTTAATGTAATTGAGTTATGAAAGTTGTTCTTTTAATTGGGGATGTTAACCATCCAACTTGAAATCCAAAGAGAATGGAAACATCCCTTAGAAGAAAATTTTCTTTTATTTGGAGATTCAAGTTAGGATGATTTAAAAATCGAATGGGAAAAGAAATACCCATTCGGGGAGTTCTTTTTATTTGGATAACTGGACCCGACGAATCCAAGGAGCTCGTAGACGGAAAGAACACGAAGAGTGAAGACATAGAGAACATCTCACTCTTAAAATCACTTGTGCCATTTCTATGATTAGAATCTAGATTGTTGTCAGTGGTACCCGACCACTTTTAATTTCTGTAGATCCTGGGTTGTTATTAAGTGACACTTGCCACGTAGACTTTACATTTAAATAATGATTTATTGATTTCTTACATTGCTTGTGCCTTAGAAATTATATACTTTTCTTGGTTTCTTTCTTGCATGTCGCTTTTGATTTAGCTTAGAACTTCTCACAGGTTTGTGAGGGTATGCTAAAATTTTTTTTATTCAAATTAAATTAAAAATATTAGGCTCATATAGAAATTTATATATTTTAGGAAGTAAGTCTGGGAATGACTTGAGAGTTCGCATTAATTCATGTTAAACATTCTCTTCCTTTTTAGTCATCTCTCTGCTTGCGGATTCTGACAGACTACCTGTCCTATTAAGGTATAGTTCTGTCAAGAGGATGTTCTGCAATCTTTAGTGAAAAATATATTTTTAAGCTTTTTTAAAACTATTTCATATCATTTTGCATACAAAGGTCAATTAGCATGCATTATATTATAAACCAACTATACAGTAAAATTTTATATGCATTTCAAAGCATAATCACCAAACATAAGTCAATGGGTCAATTAAGACATTCTCTAGATGTTGGCCCCAATTCCTTCAAAACTTAAACAATGTCCCATCCATCTTTCATAAAAGATTGGACTCATGATTTTGAAGTGCTAGGTGATTAGCTGGCTCCCCAATCTAGGTCGAGATAAGTTTATATTTGCATTGCATTAGTAAGGTTCATGCCACTGTTGTTTTGTGCTCAAATTAGACTTAGGATCCAGGACAGACTCAAAATCATAAGTCCTTACCTTCGGGAATATAATTCAAACTTTCTAATAAAATGACAACTCAAATTAAAATTTCTGTTCAAATCAAAATTTAAAGCACCACAACAGAAAGGCAGAGTCATTTTTGAATTGTTTCAGAATCCCAATGTGTCTCCTACTTCTCCATTGACCTCTAGAAATAAGTGCTCAAAATTTGATCTAATAAATATTTCAATTCCAACCACACTTCTTTTGATATCACTCCTTAAGAATTCAAAAAAATAAATTTATATTGTTATTTTAATTGAGAGTATTCGTAGGAAACTTAAGTCTTATACGATGTAATTAACTACGAGGGCTTGTGCTCATAGGAGATTTAAAGACCCTAGATCAATTTTCAAAGTCAATTAGTTCTCTTTTGGAAATATTAAAATCAATGATGATCATTATCGTCATATTCGAACCATCGATATCGTTTTCTTTCTTTGGGAAGATACATCATTTATTATTATGACTTTGAATATGAAATTACTGATACTTCATCTAGATTATCATAGCCAAATACTCGACCGAATATCATTTTGACCATTCGGGGTCATATGTTGTCTGAATTTGACTATGATAATCAGGATGAACTCATAGTTTTGTTATCTAAACCCAGTAAGGAATAATATTTTCGCCTCCCGAGACGATACATCGTTCATAATGATGCGTTGGACTTCAAAATTGAAATTAAAGCAGTCAAAATTTCATAAAAAAAATCAATTCCAATTTGCTTTGCACCCTTTTCAAAGCATTGAAAAGCTTTTGTTTTTTCAAAAACAACCACCCATTTGTGCTGTGCATTGATATTTTTTTTCACGAAGCGGATCTCATTAGAATATTTTTTTTTGTTTTTGCTAATAAAATAATTAAGCAAGCTATAAAAATCACCACCTTAATAATTTTGAGCTTTTAAATCTTGCTTCCATGAACATGTCAAGAAATTGAAAAAATAAAATAAAATTCAAGCTCTAGCATGTAAGATTAATTTATGTGCTAGCTTTGTGTAGTGTCTTTCCAATAGGTGATAGGTTAGGCTCTATTGCTTCAACGTAGTTGTTAACCTCAGAATAACAAAACAAAACAAAAAAATCTCGCGTACAAACCTTATACCCGTCGGATCCTCGAATCATGCCGCGAATCCCGCTGAATCGGCGCCGCTCCAATCATTCCTCCGCGATCCTTGCGCGAAACTTGCGACGACGGCCTCGATTTCGCTCCTTCTCGCATCGTTAAATACCGACTCAAAGGGATCATTCGGCTGCTGCTTCCACTCGACCGAACCCCGTCGCTCTTCCTCTCTCCTCCGATTTCCTCAACCTCCCGATCTCCTCCCAAATCCCGTCGCCTTCTCCCTACAGCCGAGCCCCTCACTCCAGCAGCCCGTCAATCCTCCTGTCCAGAGCTGCCGAAACCTCCATTTCCCTACAACCGAGCTCCTCTTGCCGACCGGCTCTCACCCGCCTCCCTCCTTCCTGTTTCGATCGGAAGCTATGACATTATGAACGGAGACAAGAACGGGAGCTCGCGTGTAGTGAAGTTAACCTCCTCCCCTTCGCATGCTTCTCGGCCAAATCCCGTGCCTAACAACCCTTATGGGCATTTTCTTTATGTTATTTTTATTTTTGTTTATTATTATTATTAATTATTATTATTTTTAATTATTAATTAATGATAATGATAATTATTTATAATTAGTTATTTAATTATGATTTAATAGGACACAATGGAGAAAAAGGATTCATGTAGCCGACCCCACGTAGTGGGATAAAGGCTTGATGTTGTTGTTGTAGTTATTTAATTATGATTAATTATCTTGATTATAGTTAATTAAAATTAATGTGTAATTAGTTTTAATTAATTAAAATAAATTATTTTAATTATAATTAATTAAATAATGATATTTGTTTATGATTAATTATTTAATCATAACTAATTATCTTTCATTTTAATTAATTATTATTAATTATAATTAATTTTAATTAATCAAAATTAATTATTTTAATTATAATTAACTACTAGTTATGATAAATAGTTATAATTAATTACTAAATAATAGTTAATTATCAACGTGGCGG